TTGTTTACTAATCAAATTAATTTTTATGTAATATTTATAAATAATTGGTGACTGATGACATCAATCGATTAGAAAGTAATAATTAATCGATCGAATGGAAAATTCTAATGAATTAATCCCCATGTCCGGCCATAATGTTATATATGACGACATACGACTGTCATCTAAAATCTAAATTGTCAATTAACATAGTGGGGACGCATCTATCTTGTTCCATCGATAGATGATAAGCGAAGTGCGATTACAACAATTTTTTTTTCTCTTTTTGTTATTAAAGGTGGCGTTGTCGATGCTCCGACGTAGAAAACGTCGCTTCTACATAACATGTTGTGGCAGTCGCGATTAAAGCATGTGATCCTGCCTTCACTGTAGATAATATACGAAGCTGCGAAAATGGCGGACGAACAGGTGAGTTGCCGATCAAAATAACGTGCGAACCTTGAAACGAGACGGAGTTATATTACGACGAAGTGATTTGAAAAACGGTGTGGTAAATCAGCCGGCGGCAAATCTGTCGTGAGTTGTGTGGTATCGATGTGTGTACGAAACGTTTCGCAAACGTAAAACTTCTGACCGCTTTCCAATGGTATTGCACTGTTTGTTGCCGTTGCCGGATCACAGTGATTATTATTCGGTCCCGCTGTCAATGAAAATGCAGTCATGAACTAAACGATTCCTTGATCAACAGATTCATTGACGTTTCGTTTTATGGATGAGATCCTGTTGCCGTTGTGCAAAAGTTTAACCTTGTTTTCGTGAATAGTAGTTTGTGTAGATACAGAGTTGAAGTTTCAACAGATAATTAATGGATGGAAATATCCAGTTCGTGGACTTGATATTTGACCGTTCTGTTTTGAAAAAGTATCATTTTCTCTTTCCGACGAGTTCGAGTCGAATTACCCTGTTGAAAATTATTTGAAAAAATACGGCATAACCTATCTGATACTACGATTTTGCAACATAAACTAAGATTGTTTTCTCTGCAACTTCAGTACGTTAGATAGTTGTTTATCTAACATTCGTTGTTAGTATTCTTAATTGCTGTGTTTCGATTACATTAAAAATTATCGAATACTCTATCGGGATGGATTCTTGAGATATTTTCAAATTGAACTTCCGACCGTTTGAAAGACAGTTGTTCTACATCTGTTATTTACAAAATATAGAAACCGCGTAACCTCAAAGTACTATTTGATAATGAAAGAAACAATTAAATGTTTATCTCGTGTCTTATCAGTGTAAAACGAGAAACAGTGAAATAAAAGAATTGCGCAAACAAATAAACCATCAAAATCACAAAAATTGAGTGTACTTCTAACATGTTGGGAAGAGAGTATTTGTGATGTTTAACTTTCATTTATGTTATTGTAACCGTCGTAAATGTTATTATACATTTAGAATTTAACTTTTTTTATAGTTACATTGGAACGAACTTTTTCTTTATTTATATATGCATTTTACATTTACATTATTTCATAAGATAAAAGCATATTATAAATAAATGGTATTATTTTGAAATTATGTTTACTGATTGTAATATAAAGGCTAATTAAAAAAAAATATTTAGCTACAATTGTGTTTCATATTCCTTAGATAAACATTATGTTTTGTGATTATATATTCTTTATTCATAATTATGATAGAGATTGATAAGGGATTAAAGAATTGAAAAAGTGAAGCAATGATTTCAAAACTTAATAGACTTGAACCTAAGTGAAAATATTGAGGTATATGTTTGAAACATTAAGAATGGATGACATACAGGAAGTACGGCAGCTGGAGTTGCTCTGCAAGCAGTTGTATGAATCACAAGATTCTACTCATCGTGCAGAGGCAGAGAAAGCACTTGTTGCATTCCAAAATGCACCAGATACACTTGCAAAGTGCCAGCTGCTGCTTGCACGAGGGGACTCTGCATATGCACAATTGTTGGCAGCAACAACTTTGACAAAGCTGGTCTCACGTTCTGGTGGACTCAGTTTACAACAAAGGCTTGACATAAGTATGTTTATCAATAAAATTATTGGACAAAGAAGATACAAATGCAACGACCTAATGAACCTAAATTTGTTTCAGGGAATTATGTTTTGAACTATTTAGCAACACAACCAAAATTACCAAACTTTGTGATACAAGCTTTGGTCACATTATTTGCCAGAATATCAAAGCTTGGTTGGTTTGATTCTGATAAAGATGAATTTGTCTTTAGAAATGTGGTCAATGATGTAACAAAATTTCTTCAGGTTTGTCATTTTAAATTCTTGCAAATTAAACATATTAATTGTGTATAATTTTATAATGTCTTTATCTTGTACAGGGGTCAGTGGAGCACTATATGATTGGAGTCCAGTTACTTTCCCAATTGACTTGTGAAATGAATCAAGTAACAGATGTTGATGCAAATAGGTCTCTCACTAAACATAGAAAAATTGCTAGTAGCTTCAGAGACACACAATTGTTTGAGATATTTAAGTTATCATGTACTTATCTAAGTACAGCACGTGAGAACTGTAAAAATTTAGACTTTAATGATGAGGCACAGGTATGTTTTCACAGTCCTCTACGTTTTTTTTTTTAAAATACTTTACTGATGATATATATATATACATACATGTATATTATTTGATTTTATAGAATGGTCTGATCAGACAGCTTTTAAAGCTGGCACAGAATTGTTTAACATTTGACTTTATTGGAACATCAGCAGATGAAAGTTCCGAAGACTACTGTGCAATACAGATTCCACATTATTGGAAACCAATATTTTTGAATTCTACTTATTCGTTAAAGCTTTTCTTTGATCTATATCATAGTTTACCTACCTCATTGTCATCACTAGCCCTCTCATGTTTGGTCCAAATCGCATCTGTCAGAAGAAGTTTATTTTCCAATCTTGAAAGGACACAGTTTTTAACACACTTAGTAAACGGTGTGACCAATATAATACAAAATCCACGAGGTCTAAGCGATCCCGCAAACTACCATGAATTTTGTAGACTAATCTTAAGGCTAAAAAGCAATTTTCAATTGGGAGAACTGATTTTATTAGAACATTATCCGGAGGATATAGAATTAATTGCTAAATTTACAGTCCAAAGTTTGCGGATGTGGCAATTTTCACCAAACAGTTTGCATTACCTTTTAACTCTGTGGCAAAAGATGGTGTCATCTTTACCTTACGTTAAAACAGGAGATCGACATTTATTAGATGTCTATACACCGGAAGTTGTGAATGCATATATCACTTCAAGATTTGACTCAGTTGCTATAGTAGTTAGGGATCGTTTAGAAGACCCGCTCGACGATTTAGCAGTAGTACATCAACAATTGGAGCAGATATCGGTAATTGGAAGGTGTGAATATCAGAAAACTTATACCTTATTAGTACAACTCTTCGATCAAGCTGCACGAGCATACCAAGAACTACTGACTCAAACATCGTCTCCAAGTCAGCAAATGGATATCACCATAAGGGAAGGTCAACTCACGTGGCTTGTATACATTATAGGTAAAACCATATTTTGATAATTAATAAACTAGTAAAATTATGTAAAGCAAGGCACATATAATATAATGTTTCAAAAAATAGGTGGTGTCATTGGTGGGAAAGTAACATTTAACAATAACGAAGAGTATGATGCAGTGGATAGTGAACTAGTTTGCAAAGTACTTCAATTAATGCATCTGACTGATTCACAACTTGCACAAGGTGGTGGCTGTGAAAAATTGGAGCTAGCGATGTTGAGCTTTTTCGAACAATTTCGTAAAATATATGTGGGTGAACAAGTTCAAAAAAATCCGAAAGTTTATAGAAGACTTTCGGACGTTTTAGGAGTGAACGATGAATCTATGACGCTTGGTATTCTTATTCGAAAAATGTAAGTAAAACGTAATACATTGAAACAGCATATGAGATATTAATTTTTGGTATTTCATTTGCAGTATAACAAATTTGAAATACTGGGGTCGTAGCGAACAAATTATCTCGAAAACGCTACATTCATTAAACGATTTATCAGTGGGTTTTAGCTGTGTTCGGAAACTTGTAAAATTAGAGGAAGTACAATTTATGCTCAACAATCACACAGTATGTATAAATAGCTGTGTACAAAGTTGCTACAACAAAACCGTGCAAAAGAAGAATATTAATTACGCTTTCTTTTATAAATAGGGAGAGCACTTTCCATTTCTGGGAAACAATGTTCCTGTATCAGAAATGCGTTGTAGATCAATGTTTTACACGTCCTTGGGTAGATTGTTAATGGTAGATTTAGGAGAAGATGAAGAAAGGTTTCACACGTTTATGTTACCTTTAACAGGTATGTCGATTAGTTGAACTATAAAACGCGATGTAATTATACATTAACTTGATCCCCACATTTATATTATACTTTGACCAGGTGCATTGGAAAGTTTGGGACAATTGATGGGTGCCGCAGATCCTTCACTTTTTGCAGCAGAAGATGCGAAAAAGGCTTTGATCGGTTTAGCAAGAGATTTAAGAGGCTTAGCATTTGCATTTAACACAAAAACATCGTACATGATGCTTTGGGATTGGATGTATCCTTTTTCTTTTAATATATAATTAATGAAATGATATCTTCATAGATATATATATATATATGTATCTAATATCTAACATATTTACCTTGATTTATACGTAGATATCCAAATTACACACCAATTTTATTACATGCCGTAGAATTATGGCATTATGAACCACAAGTTACAACACCCGTCCTAAAATTGTTTGCCGAATTAGCACAAAATAGAAGTCAACGATTACAATTCGATGCATCTTCTCCGCATGGAATGTTATTATTTCGTGAAGCTAGCAAAGTGATATGTAGTTACGGTAATCGTATATTGAATGTTGATGTTCCAAAGGATCAAATATACCCTTTAAAACTAAAGGGGATAAGTATATGCTTCAGTATGTTGAAAGCAGCTTTGTGCGGGAATTATGTGAATTTCGGAGCGTTCAGATTGTATGGGGACGAGGCGTTGGATAATGCACTTAACACATTTATAAAATTACTTCTTAGTATACCACAGAGTGATTTATTGGTATGCGCTTGATTCAGAGAAATGTTGTGTTCGGGAGATATAAATGTGAAATTTAATATTATCATATTATATTCTACAGCATTATTCAAAGTTGTCTGTAACGTACTATCTGTTACTCGAGTATTTGGCACAGGATCATATGGTATTCCTTGCTACCTTGGAGCCCAGAGTCTTTTTGTATATTCTATCAAGCATCAGCGAAGGCCTTACAGCACTAGGTTTGCATTACAAATTACTATAACTTTGCCCTTACAGAACTGAGATAATAGTTATGATATTTCATTGCAGATACAATGATTTCTACTGGCAGTTGCTCCACCCTCGATCATATTGTGTCTTATTTATTTAAACATCTTTATCCAAAAGGTATCATGTACTTAGTAGTTGTGTTGTACATCAATTCATACGTGCAACATCTGTCTTTTTCTTTCAGGAAACTATGCTAGGAGAAAAAATGCTGTAGTTCCAGGGGGCGGAGACTTATTTCTACAAGTTCTGAAACAACATCCTGAAATCCTCCAACAAATATTAAGTACAATTTTAAATGTGATAATGTTTGAGGATTGTAGAAATCAATGGGGTATGTCGCGTCCTCTTTTGGTACTGATTCTCTTAAATGAGGAAGTGAGTATATATCGCGTAATCATTTAATATTTTACGAGGAATTTTCCGGCCATCGTATTAATAAAAAAAAATTTTTATGATTTCAGTATTTTAATCAGTTACGAGAAAATATTATTAGAAGTCAACCAGTTGATAAGCAGGCAACAATGGCGCAGTGGTTTGAAAATTTAATGGAGGGAGTCGAGAGGAATCTACTTACAAGAAATAGAGACAAGTAAGAATAATTAAAAACAGTGGTGATGTTGTTCGAGCACGTGAAAGATCTCCTTAATGAAAAATGAAAGTAAGAAAATATTTAAACTTATATATGTATATTTCTCTTTATTTTAGGTTTACACAAAATTTGTCGATGCTTATAAAAGATATAAATGAAACCATGAAAGGACCGTACTCATCTGCAAATGTTACCAATGATAATATGATGACATTGCAGTGATACCGCTCTCTTGCTACTAGATTCTCCTAGGTTCTTGCCTGCCAAAATGCTTGAATGTGTGTGCGAGTGAACTTATAAATTATGGTGGATTTAAAATTATGGTTTTAGATGAGTATAAAGATAACAAATCAAATACTGTTGTTTTATAGAACCACTATTTCGTGGCTTCCTATTCTCTTGCAACCTTACTTTGTTTTTTAAAGTTTCTTTGAATCACACAATCATTTCAAAATCGGTAAGAACGAAACCTCCAAACTTAATTTTTTTAAATATATGTTGTATACTTATAGCTTTTCTTAAGCTGACATTAAACCGTTATTGATCCTATTAATAATATTTGCCAACAAAAAATAACGAATTGTCTTTATTACCTTTATACTCCTATTGTTTACAGATAAAATTCGTTGGACTATAAAATCTAGACATAAATCTGATAAACCACCAAATCAATTACAGGCATCTTATTTCAATAGAAACAAAAAGTTCGCTTTTCACCGTGACTTTATTTTGAACATCTAGTGCCAAGTTTCGGACTTAATGTGCATTGTCTTACATTAAAATTTTACATCACATATACAAATTTCATACTACTGTCACTATTTTTAAATAATGTGGAAACATGCAGCTTAGAATAGGAAGCCAATTATATAAATTACGATCATATATCTTGTTCCATATTACTTTTATATGCAGCCGACTTTCATTTATTTAAATATTTTTTTACTGCAAGATATGGGCCACAGTATTAAGGACAACGATAATATTCAAAAGTATTGAATCACTGTCGAGAATATATTAAAAATGAATTGCTGGTACAAATTGAAAGTGCATTCTTTACAATATCAGTACTTTAAACATTTTTAAACTGATAATGCAAAATTTTGTTTTAAAATTTATTTCGTTATTACTATGATCACACA